TTGTAACTAGAATTTTGTTTTTCTGATTAACAATCTATTGCTTTAATTAAAAAGATTATTTTTTTAGGATTCTGAAATAGTAACCAGTCAATCTTTTCCATTATTTTTTATTATAGACCATTACAAAAAATAAAATTTCTATCAATATTTATATTGAATTTAGAAAAAATATTGAGTTAATGATTTTATGCTCTCAGTGATAAATAGAAAAATTTATGAATTATCTTAATGAAAATTTAAATATATCTTAAAATGCTATCATAAATTAAAAAAAATATTTCCACACGAAATATTATACTCTTTGGATATGTATGTGGAATGGTTTTTCAAACATGAAATTATTTTTATAAAATGAGTTAGAGTGATAACAAATATTTTAATTCGCTACATATTGAATTGAATTAATTATGCAACTATTAAGGTTAATTAAAAATATTGATTCATCGTAACAATTAATTTAAATTCTAGTACATTTAAATTATTATTAGCACAAACTAATATATTTCAGTGACTGCAACATCTGAGATTGATAAGAAAGAGAGATAGATTTGTTATCATTTTTTAATTTCATTATATTTTTGATATGAGAGAAAACTAATTTATTCTGATTTTTTGCTGTAAACAAAAATCATTAATTCAAATAGATAATATTTCAGTTTTATTTATTATAATCTATATATAAATATATAAGTTAATTTAATTTCTTTATTATAATCTATATTTGATGCTTTAAAAAATAAATAATTATTAATTTATTCTTGAGAAAAAATTCTTTTAAATCTTTTATAAGTCTAATTTCTCTACATTTGCCTCATATCATTAATCTTATTTTTCTCATTTACATTTAGAATTAGCAAACTTTTAATACTTGAATTCTTTGATGAGTTATAAGACGATGCAAAAATAAAAAAAAGATGATGTTATTTCATCTTCCTTGATTTTAATCAATAATAAAGATATTAAATTAAGAAAACATCTGATAAAGAAATTTTTCATACTAAAATAACAAGGTAAACTATGGAGTTATTAATTTTCTTTAAAGTTGTTTAAAAGGCTATTCCAATGAAAACTATTTGGATTAAAAAGCCATATAATTCTTGGCCAAGCAGATTTTTTAAATATTTGTAGAACGAGTCAGAATAATTTTGAATAAATATTTCTAAACATAATTATTAATTCAACCAATTTATACATAAATAAGTTTATAATAAAATGTTTTGGTTTTCTATAAAGTGATTTAAAATATATTTATATTATTTAGAAAAAATAAAAAATGTAATACGATATTTCTTATAGAATACTTTTTAAATAGAAGCTTATTGTTTAAAGGAATAGTTTAAATTTAAATAATCAAAAGAAATTAAAAAAATAGTCAATCTCAAAAGTTTAGATATTAAAAAGTTGAGAAATCTGTTCATATTTCAATAATGACTTTTACTTAAGAAATTAGACTAATTTTTCTAATCATTTATTATATATAAATTATATAACCCTAATTCTATTGGTCTATATTTATATTAGATGATCTTTTATTATTATTTTGGCTTAATTATAAAAATTAATCTAATAATAAAATTAAAACTAATATCCGATGGATCCTAAAGCCAGATAATCAGAAAATTAAGAAAAATTAATTTCTATAAACCGGTCCTAAAACATCAGATTGATAAAACACACATTTTAGCTATTTATAATTGTAGAAATTCTTGTTATAATAAGTAAGTACTTTTTTTCATATAGCTTAAATTTTTATGTTGTCATATTATAAGCTTTATACTCCTTATAAATAAGAAGCTAATAAATTGTGGGTCTCTTTTTATTATAGTTGTTAAGGAGATAATTGCTTTCATAATAAGTATAAATATATTAAATAAGCAATCTGTGTTCGAATGTTTCAACATCAGAATTATATCCAATGGATCATTGTTTGAAATCTTAAGATTTTAATATATTTAGATATATTCTAAGTAGCATTCTTATTATAATTGTTCTTATTATGATCTTTGATATTTATAGAATGATGAAAATCAAAAATGAATTGAAAAATGAAATTTTGTCTCCTAAACTTATTTATAAGGCTAAGAAATATTAAATTTTTATAATACTTTTATTATGCTTATATTATGTGATATTATTCATTTTTATTTTTGGAATAGATGGATATTGTAATCAATATTGATATCATTAATAGATGGTAGTGGATTAGGAAGCGCATTTTTTGTTGGATTATCAGGATTCTTAATATACTTGATCATTATTATATATTTTAGATATCTAAAAGGCAGGTTATCAAGAGAAACTTATTTTGAAAAACTTTTAAACGGTGGACTTGAAGCATCTGATTTATAACAAAATTTTGAATTTAAAACCGTTGAATGCAGAGAAGAGCGATTTTATTCTGTTCCAGACATAGATAATTGAAAAATTACATGAAATTTTGTTTGATAATAATAAAGTGTGTTGAATTTTATTAGATAACATCTTCTAATAAATTATTAAGAATTTAAAGTTAGTATACTCCATCATTTACTAAAGATTAAAGTTGTAAACATATATGAATAAGAATAGAAGTTTATCTTAAAAAATTGATACAAAAATATAGGAAATTTTTTTTATGCTATTTTAGAATTTAGAAATTATACTAAAAACCTGAGTTTCTAAAAATTCAATCATTCTTATTTTATATATTTAATATTGATGTAAATTCCTATTTATAAAATAAAAATCTTTATTTATGAATTAGTAATGATTTTTTAATCATAAAAACAAGATTATTTACAAATATAAATTTATCTTAAAGAAAATATGAAAATTATATTCACCATTCTGCTTTATAATACTGAGATTATATAATCTTATTAATATTAATAAATTATTGTACATCCAATAGAAACGCTTCATATATATCAAATATAATAATAGATCTTAACATCACTCAACACTCCATTAACTATTTTCAATTAAAATCTTGTTTAAAATTTACAATTCTATTGAATAACAGTATAATTCTTAATATAGATTGTCTATATTCAAATATTAATATTTGCAAAGTTGATGCTTATTTAACTAACTTAATAATTTTTAAACTAGGTATTGTTAAAAAATCTTAAATAGAAGATCAAATATTAGTAAATGTTTTTCAATACTAAATTATAGTTAATTAAATACTAAAAAGAGTAAAATATAAAACCATCCATTTATTTTTGATTGTAATTAAAAAATATGCATATAATTTAAAAAAAAAAATAATATTGATATGTAAATTATTCAGGAATATTAAAACTGCACAGCACTGTAGTGTATAAATCTTGAAATTTAATTTCTATTTTGAAAATTGAAAAGAAATTTTAGAACAGATAGCTTTCTTACTCCAAATACATTCAAAAATTGGTATATTGATTGATTATTTTCTGATAATCTTTTATAAATAATTTGACTTGTATGATGTAATCTGCTCTAATTTCATTTATTTAAGAGAGTTCCGCAGCTTGGAAATATGCTTAGATCTATATGAGATATTCTTTGGTTAAATTTTGGACGCAATAAATTCTAATAGGATTGAGCTTACTCATATAAAGTTATCTTAATATGCGAACCAAATAAAGAATCAGCAATTTTGCTCTGCAACTCTTGAAGATCAAATAAAATTAGAAATTTAAACAAGAAGCCTTCATCCTGTTATTAAATTCCTCTAAATATATTTAAATTAATAAGGAATTTATAAGCTGAATTTTTAATTCATTTACTCTTACTTCAAAGTTAGCTTGAATCTCTTGCTTGTGGTTTAATGGAATTAAGCCATAAAGAATTTTAAGTTAAATTTAACGATAAAGAAGAAATCATTATGCTCTATTAATATTGATGCTAAAGCTGTTGTTTGGAATCTAATAAATTATTGAATTGGCTATTATAATGAAAATTTCTGGAGGAATTTATGCTTTTAAGCTAAATCCAAATTACCTTAAAGAATTTCTCTCAAAAGAAATATTATAGCAGGGATTATCGCTAATGAGATTGACAATATACAAAATAAAACAATTTAGGAAAATCTATTCTAAATTTTTCATTCGGTCTCTATAAATTAATGATTGGACTTAAAGAATGCTTAAAGTTTTTTTCTAACCTGCTTCTGATTAATATCTTAATTAATGAATCAAGAAGGAGCATCTTCAAGTTTATATAATCAATCATGTTATAATTCTTCCAATTTGATACTCCTCAAATTTAAGACATGAACACCAACATTAAGATGTTAGAAAGAAAGAAAATATTAATATTTATTAAATAAAATTTAGGGATTTTAAATAATTATCACCTAAGAGATTAATTAACATTTTGGATTGCTAAAATACTTATTAAAATACAACAAAAAGTATTTGATTGAGAATTATAATTTTATCAATCATCAAGATTAATATAGATTTTTAACAGTTATTCTAAACCAAATATATCAGGTCTTTTCATACAAAAGTTTATTTCCTTTGTTTATATTAGGAGAAGATACTAATTTATCTCCATTAAAAGGGAAAAATGTAATTCATAACTTTGAATATCACATCTCAAGGAGGGATTTAGTAATGAATGTAAAAAATTATTTTTTTTCCACTTAATTAATCTAGCAGTAAATTATAATTAAAGGCAAAAAATAAACAATTATAATCAATAAAAGCACTCAGAATTTGTAATAGGAAAAGGAAAATACTTAAAAATCTTTTTCTAATTATAGAAGTCAAATTATTGTTGCCAACCATTCCCTACCATATCAACTTAATAATTTTCATTATTATTGGAAATTTTTGTTGAATTGTTATATGCTATTCTTAGATAAAGTATAGCTAAAGCTCTTAAATCGAAGAGATTAAACTTAACATTGATCAATTCTTTTTTTCATTTAAATTTGAATACTATAAAATTTATAATAGAATTATGTTATCAGCATTAGTCAGAAAAATTGGATTCCTAAAATTTTGGAGATTTTTATTAATTATTATATTTACCAAATGATTGATGACTAATTCTATCAACCAAAAATAATAAATAACTCATTATTATAGAGAGGGATCAAAAATGAAGATAAAATCATATCAGCATCCTATATTTAAGTCTGCTATGATGTCTAAAGAAATACTATAATACCATTAAAGAATGTTAATTATCATTTAACTATCCTTCAAGGTTTATCAGTCGTAGAATTGTAACAAATATATTCTACTGAAAACTATGATTATCCTTTGGAGCTCGAATATGTATTTTCAATCAATGAGAATGCAGCTGTCACAAAAATGAAAGTTGAATTAGGAGAAAAAGTAGTCTATGGAATAATAAAGGAAAAAGAGGAAGCTGAGATAGAATATAACAATGGAATGAACCAAGGAAAAACTATGGTTTATAGTGAGGAAGATAAAGAATTTTCTTAAATAAAAAGAGTAAGAATAGGGTAACTTGCTCCAAAATAAGAACTAAAAATTATTTTTTAATATGTTCAACCTTTAGATGTCTTCTTAAACAAATTTTGGAAAATTGACATTAATCCAATAATTGATAACAATTATTTACACTAAAAAGATTAGAGTCAAAACCAGAATAATTAGATTATTAATTATCTAAATTCAAAATTTAATTTGAAAGACTTTAAATTTTTATATAAATAAGACATACAGATTACATTTGATACTGGATCTCACATAACTTTTTGGAAATCTCCAACTCATAAACTTCATTCTACAGATATCGATGATGCTAAATAAGATGGAAAAAACAATAAAATAATTCTTAGGTTAGATAATATTCCTGAAAATTAAAATCCTGAAAAACAATTTACATTGCTTTTTTCTTCTGATGACATTAATCTTCCAAGGGCCATACTGAGTCATACCAACAATGACGCATTAGAATATTAGAAATATTGTGCTACGTTAACCTTTATTCCAAAATTTAATTAGGTATCTCTAGATGATGCTTACACATAATATCTTGATAGTTTAAGCTTACCATATAATTAAGTTTTAAACAGAGGAAATTATTTATTTTTTATTGATAGAAGTGGATCAATGAATGGATAAAGAATTAAGAGAGCAAAGGAATCATTAATTCTCTTTTTGAAAAGTTTACCTTAAGATTCTTATTTTAATATAATATCATTTGGTAATAAATATATTTCAATTTGGAATGAATCAAAGCAATATAACTAAGAAACTTTAGATGAGGCAATTAAATGTGTAGATAACATGAATGCAAATATGGGAGGTACTGATATTTACACTTCTTTGAAGGAAATGGTATATAATAGTAGTTACGGAACATCAAATGAGACAATTTTGAATGTATTTTTGTTAACTGATGGAGAAGATACTGCAAGACCAATTATTGAATTAGTTTAGAAAAACAATAGAGCAGAAACGAGAATTTATACTTTAGGAATTGGATCGAGATGTAATTAATATTTAATAAAACGAATGGCTGAAGTTGGTAATGGGAAGTTTCATTTTGTAAGTGATAATGAAGAAATTAATGCTAAAGTAATTGATTTGTTGGAAGATTCTTTAACCCCATATTTGAAGGCTTTTAAAGTAGAAACTAATGCAATCAAAATTTCTTCAATCATTCCAGATCCTGAATCAATTGTTAGTTTAAAAAAAAATTAGGAATTAACAATATAAATACTTTTCTCCAGTTAATAGGATTAAGACAATATTCAATTTAAAATCAATTGCTTTGATTCGTAAGATCAAAAGCAAATAAATTATAATGTGAATTTAAATTTAAATTAATCTAAGGACAATGAATATTTTCATAAATTGGCTGCTCACAAGTTTATTACTTATTACGAAAATGCTTTGAAATATGGAGAATAATAAGTTAATTTTATTAAACTTAACAAATAATATCTTGATGATAAGGATATAGTCAATTTATCGGTGGAGAATCAAATATTGAGCAATAAAACAGCATTTGTTTGTGAAATATGTGAATTAGAAGATCAATTTAAATAGTAAGCGAGGTCAAAAATTACTATATAAATACCTTAAAGACCTAAACGTCATTTCTAAGATTAACTATAATGGTGTATTGGAATGCAATAATGTATGGTACCTCCATAGTGTGGTTCATCACAGATAATGAACATGCCTTTACCAGCAATGGGCTCAAAATCCAATGCAATGGTACTACCTATGTCATAGTAAATCCAATATAAATGTTGTACAACTGGTCTACCTATATCTATGTTTTCACCTATGGGAAATTTGCGATAAGAATAATGTGCACAAATGAAGGATTTCCCTATGCAAACGAATACACAACTTCAACTACAAAAATTATCAGATATAAAGAAAGATGAACTAAATGTTAAGCTCTCCTATAATTAATTGATTTAATTCGCATAAGCAGATGGAAGTTTCAAGATAAGTAATGATATTTAATTAAAAATAAACTTTAATAACTTAAACAATGAATAAGGCCTAAAAGATGATGTATGGAATACTTTGCTAATTTTACTTTATTTAGAAAAATATTGTAGTGAAGACAAGTAATCATGGCAATTAGTTTTTTCCAAAAGTATTTTATATTTGAGTAAGCACGGAATAAACTACACGGAAAAGAAATTAGAATATGAACATTCATAGGCATGAGTTAAATATATATTATTAAAATAATTATACATTTATTACTAAAGGTTTTACTTTTCTATGGATTTAACCGTATAAGCCAAAAGTTATTGAATAATATTAAAAACTTGAAATTTATTGAAATAAATTATTCAAAAAATATTTCTCAAGGAATCCTAGATCCCAAACTTTTCCTGAATATCAATATGAATATTTACAAAAGCTATCTAAGAAAAAAGTGGGACTTATTTTCATTTTTAGCTATGAGGATTTGGTTTTTATTTTTAATAATTCTTATATCAAAAATATTTCTAATTGCTATCAACTTTAGTATTAAACAGAATCTAGAATTAATGAGACAAAAACTGGATTAGTTTAAAGTGAAATAAATTAAATAGAGAAAGAAAGCTTTATAACTATAAGCAAAATGCTAATATTTAGGAATGATGATTTATTATTGGGGTAATATATTTTAGCCTTTGAGAGCCAGATAAAAATGATGAATTATAAGTTAAGCAAAATCAAATATATATCCTATAAGATTATTTCAGATACCTACTCTTATAATTCCTAAAGATACAATAATTTTTCAAATATCTTAAGATTGCCATAACAGATCAATGATTATTGATGTGGAAATAAAAATTTTGGAAGAAGATGATAGCAATAAACTAATTCACATAGCTTAAAAAAGAGAAATTCTAATTTAGGATGACCTTAGATCATGTTAGTGAATATCTAAAATAAAAATAGGATTTAAATAGCAAAACCCATCTTTATAGACAAATATGCCATTGACAGGAAGATGAAGATATGAAAATATTTTCTGCACTATTAATATTTCAAACTTAATTTCTTTTTTATTATTCAAAGCTTTTTTCTACTTTTTCATAGAGTAATCTTTGGAGTATATAAATGCCAGTTAGGAACAGATGATCACTTAAGATATGCATTTAAAATATTTCTTACTTGTGTATTCAACAATTTTTTATGATAATTAGAATTATAGTTGTAAGTTGTTTTTCAAAGTAACGATCTTATCTTTAGTAAAAGTTGCTGAGAGTTGCTCTTAATGGTCATGTTACTTGTATTATTTATAATTGAAAATTTAATGAGTTTTTCTATCGCTATATAATATTTAATTTGCATGTTACCGTTCTTTTAAATATATAACCTTCAAAAATATTCATTTATTCATCCTTTATATTAGAGTTAAGATCTTCTATTAATAAAAGAAGAGGAAAAACTCGTTCTCCTACTTCTTTATATAGAGAGACATTTTTTCATCCATTCTTTTTCTTATCTTTTTTCATTTCAACTAACCATTAATTATATCTCCTTCTTTTAAATGTCTAAAACTCTTTTCATACTCAAAATTGAAAATAGTTATATCTCTTCTCGATATGTTGTTTTTAAATTTTGATAAAAAGCCAGAAAAGCATATTAATCAAAAGGAACTAACTCAGATTATGAAGTCTCCATTCTGAACCATTTTAGGAAAAATCAAAAAGAGCTCTCTAAGTAGCCACATTTATCATCAGGAAATATAATTATAAGTTAAAAATTTTATTTTTTATCTAAGGTTAAAATTGCTCTTTAATATTTTTTATTTTTCATATTCCATCTCTATGATATTTGATTAACAATTGATTCTGATTTGAATTACTAATTAGCATTGAAGAAACTTGTGAATTTTTCTTCTTCTCTTAGAAATTTAAAGACATAAACTCTATTAACTGTGTTATAAGCATTGGATAAGTCTAAGAATATAGTTTACTTACCTGATTGTTTCTTTATGGAGAATATTATTCCTTATCATAAGGTAATCAATCTATAGACATTTAGTTTCATTCAAATCTTTCTTGTAACATTTTTTGATTTTGAGCTATAAATGGCATTTTGAATTTTTCTCATTTAGTCATTGATATCTCGTACCCAAAATAACAATGGAGGTAAAAATTATAATTTTTCTACGGTTGCTTTACAACCTCTGTTAAATCCTTATGTTAGGGGTATGTTCACTGTGAAAATAGGCTGCGGCGTATCAGCCTTCTAGCGAACTCCTTATATCATCTTTAAACCTAAGTTAAACTTAAACTGAGAAGACAGACTCGCTTCTTTAGATAAACCTTATAAGGGTTTGGGTTTGGGTTTGGGGTTGGGTTTGGGTTTGGGTT